TGTGGGGCGCAGGTTTATCCTGAATCCCCACTAGAGGGAACCAAGTAGTCAGAAATGACAAGCTGTGGATCACCCTCCACACAGCTTGAAAAGCTTGGTGCATCCTGGTTCTTCACAGTCTTGTGCTGGTTTTTGCATATATATGCAGTAAAGCTGCCTTCTGGTCATGCTAATAGAAAGTCGTTCCTGAAGTCAAAGTTATGCTCAAAGTTAGTTTGAGCATAAAATGTGCAGTTAAATGCTAACGTACAGCTCTCATGTAGAATGAGGGATGCAAGTGAGTTTTTGTGCTATAGAAGGTCATCGCTGAGCAAAAATTATTTCTGTCTTTAAAAGCTTGGGCTCATGCTATGCATTGTAGATGAAATGCTCAAAAGTTTAAGGCTAGAGTTCACACGTCTTCAAGTGGAATAATTTTCCTTGCTCACCTGCAGACAAAAGCCAAACAGATGATGGAGGTAGCATTGCCTTCTATCTAGTAACAATGTCATGTGCTTTTCAAAAAGGAGATATTTATGGAAGAAATTTCTCTGAGTGAAGTTTCTAACGTTGAACTGAATTGAACTTCCTCAGCTTTGAATACAGTATTCTCTGAAGATCTCTTACAGCCATTTAGAATGACTCAGTTGCACAGAATAGAATCACAAAATCACATGTAGCTTTGACTGTGCTCATTTTGCTCTTGCAGTTGGAGCTTGGGCATCAAATAATTAAGAATATTCATTAGATAAGCTGGCTTAAGTTGTATAAATTTAGAATCTGTTCCATCTGCCCTCCTCAAATTTGGTATAATTCTAAAACGTTTTGTGATCTGGTAAACTCCTGTTAATTTTAGCCATCAAAGCTTAGCAAGTATTTAACTCTTCTTCCGTGTTCATAAAATGCAAAAATACGATCTTTAATTTTCTGTTCTGACTTCTGGGCTTTTTGTGGATACGTGGAAGGTATAATTTGGGGGACGTGTCAATAGCCCTCTCTAATTTCCAGTGCAAAGTAGTTGTTTGACTTTGGTTGTGCGAGCTGGAAGCTCACACAAAGTGCCCGGTGCTAGCATTGCATTTTGGTTGCGTTTCTCACACTAAGCAGCTTTTGTTCTTTCATTGTTCTAGTAGAAAGCACAGTTCTGTTTGAGTAGGCTTTGTTTTGAGAATCCTAACAGCAGTTTTGTTGGTTGTTTTTTTTTTCCTTAGAAATTTAAGATCCGAATTGAAGACCCACCTCGCCGAAAGCACATGGTGTTTTTGGGTGGCGCAGTTCTAGCAGACATCATGAAAGACAAAGACAACTTCTGGATGACCCGACAAGAATACCAAGAAAAGGGAGTGCGTGTGCTGGAGAAGCTTGGTGTGACTGTTCGATAAATCCCAAAGCTTGTTCCCATCACGTCTAAAGCTTTTTTTCTTTCATTGCCAATCTCTGAACTCACTCAGCTACATGCTATGGAAAGGCCTGTCTGTGGCCTTTGACCCAAAGGTCAGGTTTTGTTCTGGTTTCTTGGGGTAGCTTTTGTTAAATGTTTCTTAATGTGGCTAAATTTGACTATTAAATTTGACCACTTCCCCGCAAACAAAACAGAGCAAGAGCAGCCTGTCTACTTCATTGTTCCTTCCCAGTAGGCAATTGGGTAATTCTGGTAGGCTTTTTCTTCTGGGTTTATTGCTGTAGTACTGCTAGCTTTTGTCTCTAGTTCACAAGGGGTTGTGTGCCTTTTTTAGCATAAGAAAACCTTTAAACGGGAGCTTTTGCTATTGGATCATTGTGGTGGTTATCTTTGCATCTTTTTGCCTCTCTCTACATTAAGACTTCTTTTTCTTTCCTGCAATAAGGAATTTTGATTAAGCATAGTTAGAAACTAGTTTAACTAGCTGGAATGGCTTTACACACTGTGTCCATGTAATGTGGTTCTGTATGCCCTGCTGCCTCAAACTGGTTTCTGAGGCCGTTTATCAGAATCCTTAGAGGAGGTGGGGCTTCCATGCTGTATTTCTCCAAGTGGGCATGTACACAGTTGCCACAAACCAGGGAACACCGGATATTCTGGCAAAAGTAAATTTGTGGCCTTAGATGTCTTTTTTTTTTTATTATTTTGGAGGGAGGAGACAGGTTTGAGCTGTGTTGCTTTTCTGTTAAGGGACAGCTGGAGGTCAGTCTGACCAAAAATGCCTCTTTTTGTAGCTACGTTTTGGTACCGTGTTATCTCAGCATAGGGAGCAAGAATGTTACGTTAGCTGTTCTGTAACTGTTGAGAAACTTACTTAGATGTGCTGAGAGAGGAGCCTCTGAACTTCTAAAGAGATTTAATACTTTCAGAAATGCTTGTGAAAACTGTAATTAAAGATATTGAAACTCCCCAAACTAAGTTTAAAATGTTTTAAGTGCTTGTATGTACATCAGAAGCACTTGTATTAAACTTTACAAGTATATTAACCTAGTGCCAAGTAGTTATTGCAAATGAATATTTCAATGCCCAGTGTTCATCGCAGCAAGCAGATGTTTATAAACAACCACTGGCAGTAGGTTATAAAGAATGACCTGTGTTTGTTCTAGTTGAAAATAGCACTGGAAGAGGAGATGTTGGTTGGTAAATATCTGCAACTCATTTTGATTTTTTGGTTACTTTAGGTGGGATGGGGAAGGAAGTGAAAAACAATGACAAAAATGCTGTTTGCAGAAAGTACATTAAAGCTGAGTTGTACTGAAAACTAGAAGTTGTCACTAGTAATTATCAGCCATCTTCTCCCAGTAGAGTTGCCTGTATTTTCTTTCCCCTAGCAGACTGATCAGCACAATCAAATCTGCCTTACACAAAGCATAGCAAAAACTGCTCGCATACGGATGCCAGTTAGATGTAGTTCTACTTTGCTTGTCATGGAAATGTTCTCTCACTTCTTACTTAGTTTTCCAAGCCTACCGTAACATGTAAACGTGAGGAGGTTAAGATCTGCTTTTGACTTCCAAACCTTGGAATGTACGAGATGTGCTTTCATATACTTGCCATTTGTCTACATCTTTACATTAATGATCGGCCCCGGGAACGGGGAAATATTAAACTCCCTTGGATTCTTAAAAGTTGCTTTCTTTCTAAATCAAGCAGACAGCTTCCTTTTGGCCAAGAGAGCCAAACAGGCAGAGACCACGTCTGCATTTCTTAAACAACAGGACAGATGCTATAGTATTGCTAGTAATGACCATTTAATTATAGGTGGGTGGGGTTTTTTGCAGCTATATTTACTCTTAACTTGAACAATATGAATTTACAGGCATGCCGGTCATGCCTCAGTGCATGCACTTATGCAGTTACTAGATTTTTGGGGACATGAATGTAAGGGGTATTCTGAATTCCTCTAGTCTTCTGAACATTTAATACACAAGATTTAAAAATGCTGTGCGCTTGCTTTACAGCTATGGTTTCTCACGTGACTGTCTCTGGGCTTTCTGGACAGCTTTGAGAATGGTGTAAATAAACCAAAGAATGACTTAACAACCTTTTTTTGAATGACAATCTGCCACGTGATCAATTGTACAAATCCAGACCTTGAGCTGAACCCCTTTTCTAAGCCACATTCTCCCCTCTTCATTGGCTTCGGTTAGGTATGTGCCTATCTTCAATAAAGGTTTTGGAATTTGGCCCTTTCACAAGAGAACTTCACAGCACCATTAGAAATAAATGTCAGTTGATCATGCAGTATCTTAGGATTTCATGGAAACAATGTATTTATTGGGGGGGGAGGGGGAAGAAAAGAAAGAAAGAAAGACAAAGCATATTGCATTACAGCTATCCTGAATCCAGAAGAATGAATACGACATCCACAGACTGGATGGGGTTCCAGTTGTGCTCAGTGTGGTTCTCAGTGTGTTAGCACACACGAGTGTGTGTTTGTTCTCTTGTTCTCTCAGCTGACAGCTTCACTACTGAAGCACTATATGAAAGTAATCTGGTTTTAATGTTGTTGGTTTTTTTATTTTTAAAGACCAAATAACTTTGGTTCTATTTGCAACATGCTTCAGCTCCTATAAAATTAGACTAGAAGATGCTGCATCAGCTGTAAGTTTTTTGGAACTACCCCACTTTTAACGTTAAGCTGCTTCAAACCCCTCCCCCAGTGTTCTAGGATGTTAACCTATGTAACACAAATGGCTTTTTTATACAGCTCTGAACAGCATGTTAACACGCAGCACCGGTTGAGACCATGAATGGAAATAAACATCTATTTAAATTGACAGGTCTTTTCAATATAAAAATAAAATCAGATTTTTTTCAAAGTAGATGACGTTTGCTTTGTTTCCTTTGGGAAATCACAGTTTTGTCAGGTTTTTTTTCTAACATAACTTTCATCATGAAACTATCACAAGCTGCTTATGCTGAGGAAATCTGATGTGGCAGAAGAGCACGTTCCCCATTGATTGCTGTCACAGAGTGAAAAAGGCACCCCATCTCCATTCTCTAGCCAAGATTTCCTTCCTTCCACCCTAGTTTGTTTAAATTAATATATATATGTGTATGTATATATATATATGTGTGTGTGTGTGTATGTATATATATATATTTATATTAACTTAATATGTAGCCTTGGAGAGGAATCTTACCTAGATCAAGCTCTGTGCTTGATTGATTTCAGTGACCTGGCTATGCGTGGTAGCCACATAATAGCATTCTGATGTGGAAAAAACTCATTTATCTGGCTTTGTAGCAAGCTCATTCAGCTTCTTCATCCTAGCACATTGCACGTGCTGATCTGTATGGATATTCCCAGGCATTATGTCTCCAGCAGACAACAACTTTGGTTTTCTTTACAATAACCCAAAGTGTAGTTTGGCTCTGGTTGAATCTGTCTCAAGGACTAGGCCAACTATGTGCCATCTTAGATACGGGTTGTAGTTTGGATTTCAATAGATGGGGTAAAAAGATCCCCCTATAATCTTAATTTCATCACTGTATTTGTAGGTGGGGGGAAGGCAGGCTTTGCCTCTGTGCAGCGATGATAATACGTGCTCCCCACTCTCCCTGCCTTGGCTTGGTTTGCCTGACGTGGCTTTTGCTCAGCCAGTGTTTGCTTGTCAACTTTTTCAGTGTTGACTTCCTTCCTACAGATACTTCATGCATTTGCCACAAACGAGCCTCATTTGCTGTTTCATTATGGTGAAAAACGCAGGTTGGTTTTCTTTTTATTTTAATCCAAATATCTCTCTTCCTTTGTTCTTAGCAACCAGGAGAATTGTTAAGAAAAAAAAAATAGTTAAACTTTTCAGCAAGTATTCAAATCTGAACTGAAAACTTGCTTTATTTTTGCCACAGGCAGAAATAGTAGTTTTGGTTTGTTTTTCAATAAATTTGTATGCTGTCCTGTTGAGATAAGTCGCTGTCACTTTGCCATCATAGAACTCAAGGAAAAAGAAAAGCTGCTTTTTTGAGTAGGTGCTACTGTAGCCTCTTACCTCTCCTGCATCACAGTATTAAGATAAGCTTTAAATAACATCCCTCAAGCAGGCAGCTTACCTTTCTGTAACCCGTTGTTGCATCCTGTTGTCCCAGCTAAGCGTACAAACCAAGGTTGCAATGCACATCTGCATATCCCCAACAGCTGGAGCAGGGCTGCTTGCCTTCCTTGTGCCACGTGCAGGGTTCTGCTTTGGTGTTGCTGGTGCAAGGAGAAGCTCAGGGAGGAGAGGAAGTGTAGGACTTTGCTTCTGCATTTTAAGGTTGTTTTGAAAGCAGTTCCTTCATTTTAAAGTTGAGGGAAACATTTTCTATTCTAGGTGACAAATAAAGCATATTATGCATCTCTAACAGATTTAGGATGATGCTGAGGGGCATCTTTCAACTGCACAACTTGTGCTCCTTCCTGTAACTTAAAAAAATCTTTCCACAAAGCTGAGGAACAGTAATTAAATTGTAGCTGCAGGAATAATGACAGATACGGGCCTCTTGCCTACACCTTTTCATCACCACACCCATCTCCCATCTGCTTTTTGTTTGCCCTAAAGCTTAAGTGGTTTCAGGATCCTCTTGCATGCATGTTTTCACTGTGTGCCCATTTTAAATCTCTCCAAGTATTTTAATGAATTAATTAATTGACAGTTGCTGACCTCAACACAAGTACATCCTGTAAGTCCTGACTTGCATCAGGCATTTTTCTGAGCAGAGCAGCCCTTTTGGGGGCTGTTCCAAATCTAAACTTTACTGTTGTCCAATGAATTCCCATTCTGAATCACCCAGTGTAAACTTGATATTGCTTTCCTGCCAAAGCATGAAGTACAAGGGTGGCATTAAAGACATGAGAAGCAATATTTTGGGAAATGCCCAGCCACTCAGCTTCCTTGGAATATTCCATTTTTGTCTTTTCCCATTGCAGTGTATGTCAGTGCTACTTCAAACTACCCTGTGGCAAGTCTTGTAAAAGCTGAGGGGATTTATGCAAGCAGCTGTAATGCTGGTAAATAGTTCTCTGTAAGAAAGTCTTGTAAAAGGGGAGGGAGGGGCTAGAGCTTCCTATAGCATTGCTGGGTGATAGCCTGGAGCTGTAACTGGAATAACCTATGAAACATTCTCAGTCATGGAACCCATGTACCATATGAGAACAAAATGTTGTACGATCATTACCCATATCTAATTATACAAGAACTTACAGCCCTGGAGGATGAAAAACTAATTAAATTGTTACCACTTTTTAAAAGATAGCAAAGAAGTGAGGAATATTTGGGTTTTTTTTGGTTCCTGCTCCGCTGCTCATGTTTCTTGAGAAGTGAATGATGCAGTGTGGTGGGGATGTAGTGCTCTGTGTACTGATTCTGTTAATGCTGCAGGAGGTTGTAGAGGCAAGGAACTTTCTTCTAGGAGTGGACTGCTTACTCAAAAACAACTTAGCTTTGGAGTTGCAACTCTGCAGTAAGGAGGATTCATTGATTCACTGTCCCAGCTTATCCATGAAAGCAGCTGATGCTGAACATAGCTTACCTTCAGTGCAATAAGGATGACCATTTACAACTGAGGATTTGCTCATGCAGAATTTTAAACAGAGTATGTCTAGAGTACTGGATCCTTTGGTGTGGATGGAATGTGGTGGGAGAAGGCTTTGGTTTTTACCCTGCACTGGGGCTTGCAGTTGTTACCAAGGAAAAAAGCTGCCTGTCATAAAAGCAGTGGAATTTTCTGCATTGTTTCAGGTCCTGCAGCTTTTGTACCAGAGGTATGGAGGATCTCTGTAAAGACCTCAACCTGAATGCAGCAGCATTTAGCACCTTAGACTCTAATTTCACTTTCCAAACAGTAGTGACCAGCTTCCACCTCACCCTGAAGTGCATGCTTTCTTTCAGAGCCTTCATTCCTTCCTCTCAGAATGCATACACTATTGCTTTACTCGTGAAATCGACAACCACTCACAGCTTAAACCAACATCCCCAGGCACAAAGAACAGACCAGCCTCTTGAGAGCAGAGTGAGCCCCACTAACCTGCTGTTCTTTGCTGTTGCAGGGTGCAGACAGGTTTCATCCTGGGGCTAAGGTCAGCAAGGCAGCACACCTCTCCTCTGTGTTGCAGCAGCAAGCGATGGCTGTTGTCTGGGAATGGACTATTCCTCCTCTTGTGCCAGCAAAACCAGTAGGCATTCTCAAAGCAGGCTGTGGGCCATAAAACACAACGCTGTGATTGTGGTGCACCTGATAGCTCAACAACTCACACCTGGGATGGGACAGACTATTACAGAGCAGTCAGCTTTGCAGAAGTACTGTCCAAAACTCAGTGGCTAATTATTTTAATTTTAGTAATTATTTATTCCAATATTTTAAAGAAGGGCATAATTGCCTGTAAGAGGCTGGGAATGAAATTTCAGTGAGCACAGTGACCCCTGGCAGTTTCTGGGGAGCAGCTGACGTGCCATCCACATTCTCACACCAACATGGGCACGTACATTTCTGGGTCGCTGGTGATCAGAGCACTTAGCAAGATGACTTGTACACTCAAGCTGGCTTTCTCCAACTTTCCCCAAATACAAAGGGTACATTTCTGTTGTGAAAGGTGGGTAACTAACTTAGGAGATGGATGGGTCCCTTATTAGTCAGCGTGCATGCTATTTATGGAGGTTTGCTTAAGGAGTGGGTCAGAAGGAAGTGACTTTTTTTTTTCTTCCCCATCCCCCCAACATTGTAACACAGTTGTTGCTTTCAAGAATATGCGTGGTCTGTTTTCTTCAGACTATTGGCTGGTCTGGTAAAATAATTAGCTGTTAGGCAGACAGAGAGAAAGGATCACATCTGCACAAGACAGGAAGACTGGGACAGTAGAAAGGGGAAAAAAAAATCCCAGCTTGAATCACAGCTGCCCACCATGCATAGTAACAGAGCTTGCCAAGAATATTCAAATTGATTTAGGGAGAAAAGCTGAGGAAACCGTTTAACCCCAGCCTGCTTGGATCCATGACAGTATCTCTGTAGAGCGTTCCCACGTTGGGCCAAAAGAAGGATTTTCAAGCTGTGTGTTTCACCAGCCATCCTCCTCTGCCCCCCTTCCCGTTGTGCAGCAGGAACACAACATACACACTCACTGACAGGCGTGAGGCTGTGTGCTGCAGAGCAGCTTTCCGCACAGAGAAAATTACCAAAGGTGGGAACATTTATTTCATATTGATGGGATTAAGTTGTAATTGGATTGTGTGATTTAAACCAAGATCCAGGCAAATGATTTGGGATTAATTTCAGACAGTGGGAACCTTTCTGCTGCCTGCAGCGCATCCTGCATTAGGCTTCCCCCATGAAAAGCACTGTGCAAACAGCATTCTGAAAGCCAGAGCTTTTTGCTTCAGGGTTTCTGAGAGCACACATCCGCTGCAGGCTGCTTGCAGGTCGTGAGGATCGCACATCAAAAAAGAGGAGTGGTAGTTTGTTCGGACACGTGAGTCGCACCGTGATTTCCCTACTTAAATAAATCTATTATCCACAATCTGTAAGGTGATGCTCACTTAATGATTAAGAACAGTTTGTTGGGAATGTGGGTTTGTGTCTCAGAACCTGCTGTCCCAAAGACCATCTTCCTACAGCAGTCCCACGGTCAGTCTCAAGAATCTCTCTGGGACAAATCCACAAAAGGAGAAATGCAGACATGCACAGAGCTCGAATAGAAGTGCCATCACACAGGTGGTTTCAATAGTTGATTTGGTGCTCAGTTTGAGAGCTGAAGCTGTAACTTCCCCCTGAGCTGCAGGTGGGCCTTCACTGCCAGCTGAAGCGGCAAAACCCAACATCCAGCCCCCCCCAAACTCCAGTTTAGCTGCAGCCTCACTCATGTTGAGAGGCATTGGGCAGATGAGCTATTTTCCAGTTGAACCACAAGTTCTCTGGGTACCTAAATGTCTGCTGTAAGGCAAATGTGGGGCTGCTGAGACCCTGACAGCACTCGGCAGCTATGTGCTCCGTCCGTGCCGAAACCACAACAGGCCTCACCAGCAAGGCAACGCGCTCCCCATTGAGCTCGCCTGCAGAGCCAGGCTGCAAGATGTGTGCGCAAGATGTTTGGGGATCGGGTCTCACACAAAAACAGCTGTGGGAGGAAATGGGCCCAGTAGTCAGACCACATTCACCATTAATATTCATTTATGCACAAATACTAACACAATCACGGATGACTTCTAAAGGAATGGGCCTAAGTGACTCCAGGAAGAGATGCTGCTGGGCTCTGGACAAAGAATTTAGAGGCCACTGAACGGAAACCCAAACCCTCTGTTCTGTGAGAAGGATCTCTCATCTTAAGGGAAGGAGATATCCCCTTATCACAAGGATTAAGCACCTCAGGGACTACCAGAAGTCACAGCAGCACCCTCAGCCTCTCCCATCTGACTGGTTTGCACACAGCTGGGCAGTTCTTGGGGACATCCTGCACCCTGTCCTGCATGAATCAGTAGAAAGCAGCCCCCCAGCACAAGCAGTTCCCCAGTGCATTTCACTACACAGACACAGGCTCCCAGCTGCTCTGCAGCTCCTGTGGGGTCACCCTCCCCTCCAGCAGCACAGGGCCCTGAGCACATGTTGGCCATGAGCTTACCTTGCAGGAGGCTCAGATGCAGGAGTAACGCAGGCCAAATCTGCAGACAGGTGGATACCTTTTCTGAGGTTTGAGAAAGCATGTTTGTAGTTCAGTTCTAAAGGGACGAAAGACGAGCCAGCATCAGAGCAGAGTTCATTATTCATTTTTTATTTGGAATATTACTTGGGAGCCGTGAAATCACATTAATGAAGCAGGCAAGATCAAACACAGCAACATCCTGGAGAATGAGACAAATCTAGAGCCTCAAACTTAAAGCAGCAAGTCTGCAGCTCACGGCAAGAGACAACAGAGTATGATCAATGCAATTCAGGAAAAGAAAAATAAGGCAGACAGAAGGAGCGATGGAAAACAGAGAGCTTGTGGTAGGTGGAAGAACAGTGTTGAGCCACATGGTTCTGGCCTACCGATCACGATCACAGAGTCAAGAGCACTACAAGCATATCTGCCGGCCCTCGCTGCAGAGCAGGTGCTCAGGTGCTCTTCAGAGGCTGTGGGCTGCCCTCCTCTGGTCCGAGAGATGTGGCAGCAATCAGCTCGCAGCCACGGAGCACTTTGGTAGAGCACAGCCATTGCTCGCCCCTGGCCAGGTGCTTGAAGGAAATGAAATAAGCCCTAGGCAGGGGAAGGTGTCCAACAGTGCTCCAGGGAGCTAAGGAAAACTTTGTTTTGCTTGTCCCAGCATTGCAATTTTGTTAAAAGTAATGGATGCATCGTGGCTTACATCACCCTGGAAGCAGCAGTTTGAAGGGGAGCAGAGCACAGATGGAGGTCTGGGTTTTCCTCAAGGACATAGCTTCTCTTGAGAAACAAAGCTGAGGAAAGGGCACAAGAGGGAGGAGAGAGGAAAGCCTTTATCCCCAAGGTTTGTTCAAGTTCTTATGCTGGAGAAGTTGTTAAAGGGTAAGGAGTGTAAATCCACTAATGCCAGAAATCCATTTTTCTCCAAACCAAGTTCCTCTGTGAACCACTAGGAAAGAGAAAAGACACCAGACCAAATCCAAAAATCACACTGCTGCCTCCTCAGGCACCTCAGATAGATGGTTGTGCATCACCTTACGCTGCTGGTCCATCTGCCTTCCAGGATCTGCATGCACAAGAAGACGCCTGCCAACTTCAAGGGAGATATATCCATGTGCAGGACGAAGCCTGGAAACTGCGAGTAGTCGCACTTTTACTGCCAGAAGCAACATTTTAATCTAAGTATTGGCTCCCGACAGAGGCTGTATTCTAAGGCACTGCAACATCTTTCCTCCATCTGAATAATTGCGAGTGCCTGTCTTTAATCTGTTCTCAAGAATTGTTGGGTTTGATTTTTTTTTTTTTTCCTTAAGTACAAAAGAAAATGTTTCTGTGTATACATTCATGGCAACGGAGCGACACAGAGACATAAACTAATGGAAGGTCCATATGTCGAGAGAATATTGTATGTAATGAGAACTGCTGCATTTTTGTAAAATGTAATGGGACAGATACGCAGCAGCTGTGGGTTACTCAAGAAGCAGCTAATTTAGCAAGCTGAATTCAAGGATATTTCCCAGATCTCCCAAACAATGAATAGCAGTGTTGTTTAAGATTACCATTATGCCTTACATCCTCCTTTGACTGGAAGCAGGGGGAGGAAGCCTCTATCTGCGCTTCTGGGGCAGAAGTACATGATTAGTGCCTAGCTATCATAGGAAGCCCCAGGGGAGCAAAGGGGTCTGGACTTGAAGGAAGGAAGGAAATCGTGTAGGATAAACAAAAAAGAGCCTCAGGAAAGCAGAGATGGGCAAGACTTGGTGAAAAATAGAAATGAGAAATACAAAAGGAAATGCTAAAGGGATCTATTTGAGTTCCAGCTAATATTAAACCTTAAAAAGCCTATCAACCCCATTCTAAAACATCAGCAGTTTCTTATTTCTATACACATAAGTTTATTCTAAAGCAACGTAGCAGTCATTTTAAACATACAAAGCATAAAGCGTTTAAGGCTTGATTACTCTTGGATTTCACTTTCCTGGGGATTTTACTTCCCTTCTCCCCCATAAAAAACAAAAACAAAGGAAGATATAGATAACCAGAACACAGTAAATAGAACATCAAGGCTCCAGTTTGTCACTCACCACTTCAACCAGCAAGGAAATGGGGCCAAAGGGACCTGTTCTCCCAATGTATTTCATGTGCTAGCAGCACAAGCACCCCACAGCTGCCCCAGAGAGCACCAAACTCAGTGCAGCTGTGGCTGCCCTGACCCCAAGTGCTGCCCAGCAGGCCCAGCTGTGCTGGATTGCATTGCAGCTGAGGCTAAGGGCCTCACCTCCGCAAGGCAGAGGCACTGGGGGACTTATACCAGGGTCAGCTAATACAAATGGTAAGACAGATACTACCTGCTTCAAAAGAAATAAAAAACATAAAAATGGGACTAGTTCAAACGGTTGTGGTTTTGTTTCGATGGGGAAGGTCTGTGCATTGATAATGCCAGTGCTGCCAGGAGCAAACGGTTGGAGTTTGCAGCCACCTTTCTGCAGCTGGGAGGCACAGGGGGAATAGGGACAGGCTAATCTGGAATCCAAATTTGTTGCAGGTTTTGTACATGTAAACAGAAGTGGCCGGGCCACGCAGTCTGGGGCCTTGTTACATCAGCTTGAGGATGGTTTGTCGAGTGTAGCATGAAAAAATCATCCCTTTGGGAAAAGAAAAGAAGAAAAAAAACCCACAAGAACAACCCTCTTCCTCAACAAGTTAAGGTGAAGAGAGTTGGCAAAGGGTTTTCAGGCACTGTAACCTGGTAACTGAAAGGGTTAAGATAGGTTGCATTTCTCTGGTTCCCAGATTATGATGTTAGAATTTTCTCTTACTGTGAAAATACCCAAAGGCTTTATTGCTGTGTAGAAGAAGGGCACTTGATTTCCACACAGACAGAATGAGCTTACACAAGGGAAGTACCAGGAAAATCCATCTTTCCTCACTAAGCTCTCCTCTCAGCTCCATGGATGGAGAGCAGAACTGTTCCCTCAAGCCTGGCTTTAGAGAGGCATTATAACAACAGCCTCTCCCAGGCTCAAGCCAAAACTTCTGCTTAATTACATAGAGGAGATTTTGCTCCTTCTACTAATGTAGGTATTAAAAATCCAAATGGCTTATATAAAGTTACATCAGGATCCAAACAGATCTACAGTAGAGCTCATCTGTAGTCAGCAAAAGGCTATCTGGGGCCAAAGACTTTGCTTTCTGTTGTTTCATTGACACATGCAAGCACAGGATGTAATTCTGCTCCCGGAATCACAGCTGGAGCAAGATAACAGAGCTAGAAGCTTTGGAACTACCTGAAATAAATACACTTTAAAAGAGATGTTTTTCTTTCTTAAACCCTTTTGAGCTGCTCCCTCATGTTTCACGGTAAACAAGTCCCACCCTGCTGTACCAGAAAGGCACTCTCACTCATTCCTTTGCATAAGGACAAAAAGCACAGCCCGTCAGCGAGAGGAGCCTGAATTTACTCATGAGACCATAGGAAACAGCTGTTGCTTTCAGCCCAGCCTCTCCTTTATCTCTGTTTTGTTTATTCATGTCCCAGCTCATAGTGGCCATAGTGAGTGGGTCAGGGCTCTGGGCTCCCAGTAGCTCCCTGTGGTTGACGGAAGCCAGCTCGGTGCCAGCAGGATGGAAGAGCAGGCTTTCACACTGCTCAGTTCTCAGGTGGTGACAGTGGTAAATTCCTCACCTGGGCAGCCAATAGTGCAGACAGGAGCCAGGCTTTTGCCCCAGATTTTTGCAGAGGGGGGCAAAAGCTCAGAAAGTTGCATGAAGGAAGGCAAATGTAGCACGCTGAAAATAACGTGTGCCTTTTCACATCTCCTCCTCCTTCTTTGAGTCCATTGCTACCTCCTTTGCATCAGAGAGGGTGTTTACACTCCCCATCTTCTATAACAATATAGTGAACAGGATTATGCTCAAAAATGTGCAAAGATTAATCTGCAAAGAGAGTGCTGTGGTGTCATGGCATGCAGAAGTGGTGCAGAGTCCAAATAGCCCACAGATAGTTCTACAGAGAAGCAGGGAAAAGGTGCAAGGCAGTGACCTTGCAGGTATTTGCTAGAGACCTGCTACCCAGCAGGGAAAAAGACAGCAGAAATGAGCTTGGTGAGAAGAACAGGAAAATGGAAGGCAGGTCTCCCATGTCCTAATTCTAGCTGCCTTCATCTGTCTCTGTTTCTCAGCCAAAACGTGGGTGTAATTGTTCAGGCATAGCGTGAAGCTGTAAAGACTCACAGTGGATAAGACATAGCAGGAGGACAACGTGATGTCAGCAAGAAGTGAGTTGTTTTCCCCAGCACTGAGAGAATTAGCGAGCTAGAACTCCAGGGATGTCAGGACATCCATCCAAATTGGAAAGAGCATTTCAGCTCACCAGGTTGGCAGGGGGCAGAGGAACAGCACGGTCTCTCGCCTTGCAAGAAAAGCTTGCTGCTTTTTTGGAGTTAGAAACCACTGAGAGCTGTGAGTATTGCTCACATTCTTAAAGTGCTGCAAAACCCAGAGTCCCCACAGAGAGAGAGGCAACATGTTTGCCACAGAGAGGGGGAGAGGAGAGGTGTGTGCATGCTCATGGAGCAGACTTCTTTCCATTTAACGGCGGATGACAGCATCACTTATTTTCACAGACAGCTATTTAACAGTCAACATAAGGAAGCATCATGAGTAGGGAGCAGCAGACGAGGCATAAATTACACAGCTAACCAAAGAATATGGTTCTTACTCTGCTTTCAAGCGGGCCAGATGCCTTCAGACGCTGTTGACTGTTAGTCGGCGTAGAGAAACCCTTTCAAGCCCAGCTAACTGAAGTCACAATGTGTGTTTCATTGGCTCGGCTGCACGGGGATCTTCCCGGCTGAGAGCAGGATCTACGCGCAGCTGAAAATACGGTGGGAATGAGTCAGTTCCTTGGAGTTTGTGTGGGAGGCAAAGACAGAACTGTGGGTGGCTTCAAAGTGTTAAACAGCCTTTCATATTCAGGCCCAGCTTCTCAGAGGAATAAGGAAATGGAGCTATTCACCCTGTCTGGATTTAGTTCCATGCCTTGGGTCAGCCTTGAGAAAATTGCTGTCCGGTAGCCGCAGCCACTTCCCAGGCATGCAGGTTCATTTACTCCTGCGCCAGTTCAGCCTTAGATGTGGACACAGTTGGACCCTCACCCAGGGCAAGATGGTGTCTGGCTCTCCTGGTATCTTCAGACTGCCTCCAAGCAAGGCAGGAGCTCATGTAAGCTCCATCTTTCCTTCCCGCATCGTACCCCTGTTCCCTGAGCTGTCTGGGCTAACCCTGCTACCCACTCCCTGTGGTATGGGAGAGCTGTTTGGAGCTTTCCAGCTCTGCCTCAGCCTGGAGTTTGCCTGCCCTGCTGTCTATCATCGCTCCTCTAGGGCCAACAGCACAGGGATCCAGTCCTGAGAGCTGGGTGAAGAGGGATGCCACGGGTTAAATTACCTGGCACATTGGAAATTCAGGCTCCATCCAGTTACCTCCTGCCAAGTGTTTGCAATTCAGCCCCGATCTCCTATAGTCTGGTCAGCTCTAAAGAGGATTTATTGCTTTTACTGGATCAGGCTCACCCTTCCATTTAAGTGGATTAATGCGGGTTAGATCCAACTTAGCCCCACACAGCGTTAGCCAAGTCAACATAAAGTTCTCTACTACTGGCAATGTTGTTGTTTTTTCCTTGTCCTGATGAATTTTTAATAGTCTTTACGTGCAAAAGCAGCTTTGCAAAATCTTAGGCTCCTGCTTTCCAACTTAGATGATTTGGCATGTGAAGAATGCAATGAATATTTAAACCTGCAGTTTGGCACAGCTCACACAGCGTGGCTAGGAACCCAGCCCCGGCCTTTCAGAGACTGGCCAGGAACCATGCAAAACCCCAGCCTGGAGAAACAGCACAGAGAGCTTGTGAGGATACATCAATCTTCAGCACTCAACCAAAGTCACCCTGAGCTCACCATTCCTTAGACTCTTTTTAAATTAACCTCAGGATTCATATGGAGGAGCTGCACGCGGGTGGAGCTGTGGGTTATTTGATAGATGACTCAGATCACTCTGCTGGTTGTATTTTATTAATGTGAGAGTAGATGATGAAGGCTGTTATTTACCACTGGGACCAGGGTCCCCATCCCAGTAGACAGTGTGCAGCCATGTGGTAACAGCCTCCGTCTGGAAGCTCTTACAGCCAAGCCAGACTAGACAAAAGGGTCAAAAAGGAAGGGACCCCTCTCGTGCCCTCATTGTACAGATGGGCAAAGCGAGGGCTCACACATGCACTCAGGCAGCCACCAATTAACAGTTTACTGTAAGCCCTTTGTACACGCTGAGCCCACAGCAAAATGAAGGCACACTCACTTAGCTTTATTGGCTGTAAAAGAGCACCCGGTTTGGGAGCCATCACAAGAAAACCTCCATCATCCGCTTGAACACACAAGGATAGATGCTGGAATTCAGCCACGACAACATGGCTTTCGTCCTTTACATGAACAGGGGCTCCCTCTGACATTTCCAGGGCCCCTTTTTTTAAGAGCTTTTATGCTAACTTTGGCTCACATGAGCCCAAACAATGCATTGAGGCGTGCAGCTGAAGCTTCCCAAGTCATCAGTGACATTTCCATAAGCTGGACTCTGCTCTGCAAAGGGGAGCATGGGAACAGCCTTCAGTTGGGCAACTCAAGCAGTACCAGCCTGCAGCCAGAGGGAACACATCCCAGATGTTTGCTTCTGAAATCAGTGACCCCCCGAGCCACGGGTTTGGTGTAGATATTAACAGAGAAAGATGGGCATTTCTTCAGAAATCACTGTTGCCTTTGGTCTCAATGTGGCTTTTTGGAAATCCGAAGTCTAAGCACTGGCAGTTCTGTGCTATTTAATTTGTGAAGCCGATCAGAGCTTTGGTAGCCAGTGGCTATCTTAACAAGCAGTCATATTTATTTGGCTCTACATGCCATGTCATTAGCTGAGTGTGTTAACTTATTAAGTTTGGCCTACATACAGTCAGTGGGACCGTTCCCTTTGGGTTGTTATTATTAGCAAGACTCAGACATTTTAAGCCGTTTGGAGCCCAGGAATCTCATCATGCAAATAAAAGCCATAGGTAATCTCTTGTAAACACTGCCGTTCCAATTACAATAATTTAATTTCATAGATGGAAAGATAGTTGTACTGAGTGTGAGGAA